TCATTAAATAAATTGAAATCGATATTTTGAATGGATTTATAAAATGTTGTAATTAAAAAAAAACCAGTTCCATTCAAGAGTGTTGTCAGTGGACGCGACCTTAACTAACTATCTCTATATCTGATTAATTCATCATTATTCATTAATCTATTGTCTTCCCCACCCTACCCCAAAATAAAAAGAATGAGAGAAAAGTTGTATACGCCATTGACCGGACCGTATCAAATATGAAGAATGACGTTAAGACTAAAAGTTTAAAATAATATTTTTAGAAGTAAAAAAATAAAATTGTAGGAATGGACTATATTATATTATAWATGTTTTAAATAATTTTGATTTAGTTTAAAACAGTTGCAGTTCCATGCGGACAGCCTTCGAGTGCGTTCACGTTTTTTTTCGCGGTCTCGTGTAACGATATGATWACTGTCTATCTTGAAACAATTGTTTCAGTCCTACAACAATAGTAGCGAAATCGCACCCAAAGAAAACTTCACAGTCCTTCGGAAAAARTGAATATTAATAATATAAACTATAATACTAATTTTAAAATATTATTTAWCCTACTACTAAATTATTGATYCTAATGTCCTAATACCAAGGCAACGTCGCATACGTTAACCTTTGGACTCAGATAACAATGCCTATATTGATAACAAATCTTCAGCTGTACTCACCGTGCTGCCTATAAAAATATTTAAAAACAAAGTCGTTAATAATATAATCACAGACAACAAACCACAGTCACAATTAGAAACTAATAAACGTTCTCTACCTTTTCTTCGCCGAAATCCTTCTCTAACACCGCTAACACCTTCGCTACTAATACTACTAAAAAATTAAGATTCTTTGTCTCTCCAAAACGCTAGTCTGTCCTTGCCGAAGATGAGACCTACTCCACCAACTCTAACGATAACAATCCAGTTGACGTCGACACACAAAGCCAGAGGTCCGTGCACTCTACCATACATACACAAAGGAAAATAGATTTGTTATCACTGATATTCGTTAAAGACGTTAAMATTTTTTTCGAACTATCCAAAGAATTATTATCACTGACCCAGATAGTTTCAGTTGTAAGTCAACGTCTTCATATCTTAAACTTCAGCTTGACACCCTTGATAAATACCGAAAAATAATCCACTTTCTGAAAGACAAAAATGCACAGAATCACACATATCAATTAAAATCTGATAAAGCTTTCAGAGTAGTGTTAAGAAATCTCCATTCAACGACTCTCGTTTCCGAAATMTCAGCAGAAATTGGTCGTACTGTCAGGCAAGTCATCAATATTATTCATCATCAAACTAAAATTCCATTACCACTGTTCTTTGTAGACCTTGAGATCGAAGAGAACAATAGTGATATATTTGATGTAACATCCATACTCTACACAAAAATAAAAGTCGATGAGCCACACAAGCAACGACGGATTCCCCAGTGTTTAAATTGCCAAACACAAATCTACAATGGAATGCTCAGACTATCGTATTTTCCTATTCTTTGGAAATATTCTACTATAATTCTCATATTAAAACCCAAAATATCTCCTGCAGACTCTCCAACTTCGTATAGACCAATCAGCCTTCTCCCAATACTTTCCAAGTTATTCGAATAACTGCTATTTAAACGTATTCTACCTATTGTCAACACTGCAAAAATCWTATCTAACGCGCAATTTGGATTTCGTAATAACCACTCCACTATTCACCAAGTCCACAGATTGGTAGACAAAATTTTCTATGCTCTGGAGGAAAAACTCTATTGCACTGGTGCGTTTCTAGATGTCTTTTAGGCCTTCAACTGCGTCTGGCATGCTGGTATTTTATATAAACTTTTCCCTAGTCACTAATATTTAATCTTTAAATCCTATTTAGAAAACCGATTCTTCTCAGTGCGAGTAGGTTCCACCTTTTCTGTTCCTACCTTAATTAATGCAGGCGTACCGCAAGATGCAGTCACAACACCCCTTCTATTTAACATATATATATTTATATATCTGATCAACTTTCTTCCCTCCATACACTTGTTGGTAACTTTGCCGGTGATAAAGCTATCTTAGCCTCTAGTGCTGATCCTAATCTAGCCTCCAGCTGTGTTCAAGACCACCTACAYYTTCTCCAAGCATGGTACAAAGAATGGGGAGTTAAAATGAACGAATCTAAATCGATCCATTGTACTTTTACGCTTCGACAAGGAGTTTGTCCTAACAACCAACCCTTTTCTACTGTCCAATGTGTACGCTACCTTGGAGTCAACATTGACCGTCGACTTACCTGGTCAGCTCACATTAAAAATAAAGCTCAAACACTTAACGATCATTATCGCCTTCTTCAACCGCTCCTAACTTCTAAAAATATTAAACTACCTAATAAATTACTGCTGTATAAAC